GCTTGGCCTCTCCTGGACACCCCAAAGCCCAGCACAAGTAGCAGCCAACTATGGTTTGCTGTGTAGCTCATGCTGGGTGGCCCTGGGCAAAAAACTGGCAGAGGCTGACTTTGCACCTCCCTGGAGGCCCCAGAGACAATGCACCTGGTAGTCAGACCTGACCATGCTGGATTACAACCCTACCACATCCACGAGTGACACACTCAAGGAGCGCACTTGGTAAACACCAAAGCTCCACTGAAGTAAATCCTGCTCCATAGGGGTGTCTCCAGCACAGCAGCTCTTTGGCTGTAGTTGCAGCTGGTCCTCACAGCTGATTGGCCTGGGGGTCAATTCCTCCCAGTGACACCAACAGCAACCAAGGCTCAACTACAACAGGACAGTGCACACAGCCCACACAGGGGAGCACCTAGAAGGCCCAGCTCAGGTGACTGGGGAGGCTGAGCCACTGGACCCTACAGGACACCTACTACACAAAGCCACTCTACAAATTCCAGGAGACATAGCAGCTCTACCTAATACATAGAAACAAACACCTGGAAGCAGCCAAAATGTGGAGGCAAAGAAACATGTCACAAAGGAAAGAACAGAAGAAATCTCTAGAAGAGGAACTAAATGAAATAGATCCAAGCAAGCTAACAGATACAGAGTTCAGAATTTTGTTTATAAGGATGTTTAAGCAGACTATTAGGGAAATAACTGAGAAAATCGATAACATAATAAAGTACCAATTTGAAATGAAGGCTACAGGAACTGAAATGAAGAATAATTTACAGGGAATCAACAGTAGAGTAGAGGACGCTGAGAATCAAATCAGCAATTTGGAACATGAGGAAACAAAAAACACCCAACCAGAAGAGCAAAAAGAAAAAAGAATCCAGAAATATGAAGATAGTATAAGGAGCCTCTGGGACAACTTCAAGAGGCCCAACATTCGTATTATTGGGGTGCCAGAAGGGGAAGAAAGAGACCAAGAAATTGAAAACCTATTTGAAAAAATAATTACAGAAAACTTCCCCTACCTGGGGAAAGAAATAGACTTACAAGTCCAGGAAGCACAGAGGGTCCCAAACAAGAGGAACCCAAAGAGGCCCACAGCAAGACACATCATAATTAAAATGCCAAAGGTTAAAGACAAAGAGAGAATCTTAAAAGCAGCAAGAGAAAAGCA